AACATTCAGCCCTGGTCAAGTACAGTAAAAAGAAAAGTGTTGGGTCCTGTATCCTCACCTGAAGCCAGTTGCATTGAGAAAGGACAAGAAACAACAGAAGGGTCATGCGGCAAGTGGGAATCTTGTCACCAACAACAATGGTGACAACTCACAGAATATACCAACAGTGTCTTCTTCTCCTATGGGGAAGGTTGCTGATTCCTTTGGAGCTGGTGCTTTGGGCTTCACTGCTAGTGAGGTAGAGGTCCTTAGCCGGGCAATAGCCCGTCTAAGGAATAATTCTTTTGCTTCCACCTCTCTTGCCAGATCAAGCACAGTCTCTGCCTTAAGTGCAACTAGCTCTATTGACTCTACTTGTTGGGTTATTGATTCCGGTGCAACTGACCACATGACACATATGTCCTCCTTATTCTCTTCATATCATTTGTTGTTTGGTCAGGATGAGATGAGAGTTGCTGATGGGTCTTTCTCCACCATCTCTGGAAAGGGGGTGGTTGACCTAAGCAAGGACCTCTCTCTTAAATCAGTTCTACATGTTCCTAGTCTTACCTCAAATCTTTTGTCAGTTTCAAAACTTACCAAAAATTTGAACTGTAGTATAACHTTTTTTCCTACTCATTGTGTCTTTCAGGTCAGATTGACGAGGACAACGATTGAGAGCGGTCATGAGTATGGAGGCCTCTACTATTTTGATGCAGACACTGGTTCAGCCTTACAAGCATCTGCTTCTAGTAGTTCGGAGAGTGTGGAGTCAATAGCTAGGTTGCATCTGTGGCATGCTAGGCTAGGTCATTTGTCTTTCTCTTCATTAGAAATGTTGTTTCCCGAATTGTTCAAGGGCATTTCAAGTCAGAGTTTATTTTGTGAAGTATGTCAAATGTCAAAACAATGTAAACTGTTTATCCAATTTCCAGTAATGAAATTCAAGCTCCATTTGATTTGGTTCATTCTGATGTTTGGGGTCCTTCACCCATTGTTTCCATTGATGGCTTCCGTTAGTTTATCAGTTTTATTGACCACTATTCTCGATGCACATGGATCTATCTATTAAAAGGACGGGATGAAATACCACGGATAACTATGGCTTTTTGCAAGATGATTGAAACACAGTTTGACAAGAAGATTAAGCAGTTCCGGTCAGATAATGCTGCTGAATATTTTGAAAAATCCTTGAACTTATTCATGGAAGATGCTGGCATGTTACATCAA